GAAGAAGAAAGAAAGAAGGAAGGAGAAGAGGAAGATACACCAAAGTAGGTGTCGCATCCGGATCTCAGAGGATTGGGGTCCGAGTGCGACACCTCGCCTTTGAAGGGGTTGCACCTTCTGCAGACGAAGCAGTGGGTCTATTTATATCCCCCCGACCCACTGGGGGTATAAGAGCTTTTGTGGGTGTCATAAAAAGAAGGACTTCTGAGTAACAAGCGACCACCCTAACAAACACAATAAAGAAGAGACCTATCCCTGACCCCAACCCAAACACTATCTGTAGGCCTACCCCAAAAAAGAACCTGCAAAGAATTGGAAATATGAATCCTCCATTGAGGTCTATAATGATCTATAAATCTAGATCTAGATCTAATAGAACAAGTGAGTCGGACTTGAATGAATCCACATGATCTGAACAATCAGTCAACAAACGAAATTCAAAATGGCCGCTCCAGAACGAAACTGAAAGTAGATAATTTAGGTCGTCGTCCTTTTTCGTATTCGTATTTCTACTCAGGTTCCGACAATTATGTCGGAAATGCCGACGTCGGCACGAAAACGAAAGTGCCGACAAAGCCAACGGGAGAAAAACGGGGCGCTGGCAGTCGGCCAGGCCTCGCACTTCGCACATTGACTACAGGTGGGCCTAGCGATAGCATCAGCCGGCTCTCGGGGCGGGTCGCGATTGTCGGCAAATATGCAGGTCTAGCTGATTTAGACATAGATCTGCCCAAAATTTTTCTAGAATTGGATGACAGTGATGAAGAGTTTTAAGGATACGGTCCTGAAATAAAAGATTTACTAGTGAATGATGGGGATATATCGTAGGTCTAGCGAGGTTAAGCCCAGAAGGGGACGTCGATATTACTTCTGATCTCCAAGCAGGCTTGACTAAAAATGATGAGGATTTTGATACCAACAACAATATTTTTTAAAAACACAGCTGACCAGACATAAGGGCAGTTCATTATTTGAGACACATTTTCCCTTCTTATTGTAATAAGAAATTATGATAAATAAGAATGAGCTTTTAATATAACAATGTTAAAAATTACCATTTTCTAAAAGAAACCAAGCACTGAAGAGAAGTAATAGTAAAAACGGCTTAGACCTAAGAAGGTTAAAAAGGGGAAAAAAACCAAACAGCAGTTCTTCACTGAAGCCACACTTATAAAACTAATACAGGAGCTTAATCTTCACGTCCCTTTTCTTTTATTGTTTGATCTGACAGCCGAAAAAATCTATATAAACAAAAACAAACTAAAAGGGGAAAATCTTAGGAGATAGCAATATTGACACTTTAACACACATAAATAGGCGGCTTCAAATACAGCCATATTGTAGAAATATGTGTGAACAAACAGGCAACTAGAATAACTAGTCTTGACTCATTCCACCCCTCCCCTCTTCATTCCCCAATATTATGAATATTCTGAGGGGGCTCTCATGGTCTACAGATACGGTGTTCGCCTCTCATTCAATAGGCCCCGTGTTCAAAACCTGACAGTGGTACAAATATTCTTTCCTAAAAAAATTATCTCCTTTCACTTTTCTTGCTCTCTACTCATGTTCTTTCCTCTGCTTTCGTCTCCACTTTCTGCTCTTTCCCACTCCTCTGGGGAACAGACTCTTTCTGCTGCCTTTCTCCTGCTACTCCTTGGCACCTTCTTACTGCTGTCTTTCAGCCACACCCCTTGACATTTTTTCTGATAGGTTGCAAAGTTTCATTCATCTTCATTCAAGGGAAATCCTGTAACTATACTTAGAAAAGAGCTACTTCAGATCCTCAACCGTACAAAGATGACACCGTAGTGCTGCATGAATTTCAGCCCAACACGCAGTGAGCACTTGGCATTGCTAGTTATCATTTTCATCCAGATATCAAAATGGCAGGCACAGCCGAGTCTGTCTACGATGACTCATACATTCAAACATAAATCTCAAAACATTAACTTACCTCATCAATGTCGTCGTCATCATCGTCATCATCAAACCCATCGAAGGTGATAGTCTCATCAGTTTCATCATCAAAGGTTGTCTCATTGATTTTCGCTGAGAAGACAAGAGTACATTTATTGTTATTTTAATGAGTGCGACATGAATATCAAATTGTTTTTACAAGAAAAAAGAACCCTGGTAGGCATCAAATCTTAAACAGCAACAACATCCACCATCGCTTGTGTAGACACAATCACACATATGTTGTAAATTCTTTCATAATGCTTGGAAAAAAACACATCGCATGAAGAAGAAAACAGAGCCTAGACCAATCTTAAGAGAATTTGTGTCAAGACGCTGAGGAATTTGGTCAATTTTGGAGCCTACGGAGTTATTGGTACCATCTTAAAGCCTGTCCATTTGCATTGCGTTTGATGGAAAAAAAATATCTATTTATCTTGGATACATACAAGTCAAGCTGTTGGCAATTGAAGGAGGTTGGGGGGGGGGGGGTGTCACCTGGATTTATAGGTAAAATTAGCGAGAATATAGCCGCCAAAGTAGCGTCATTTCCTTAGCTTGAGAGTCCGTTGTAACAAAAAATTTACACCTTTAATGCCTTTAACTTAATCAATGTTTTTCAGTAAAATCCACACAGAAACGTGTTCTTTAATTGGCATGAAAGGAGTTGAGCCAAAAAACAAAAATTCAATAAAAATTCCCAAACCTGGGAAAAAATGCCAGTTTCTTCATTTTCACCATTTTGATGAGCGTCTGATTTCACCATGACGCCTCACATTTATTTACTTGGGACCAAAAGCATAATCAGTACTTGAGCATATTTTCAGGCAGTAATACATGATACATTCACATTCAATTTTCCACTGGAAAATAGTATATTCAAATACCCCCAAAAATGACAGAGCTCTCACCTACAACCTCACCAACTATCCATCCTGTCTCTTTCTTTAAAAAATAAGTGACTATCTGTAATATACACTTTTCTTTATGTAAAACAATAGCAATACAACTGCTCCCACGAGTACACATATCAACCATAATAGATTACATTATTTCCTACGACACGCACTCAATTCTCGCCCCTTTCACAATTCTGAGTCATATCACATTTTAAACTAAAAGACATCACAATTTCCTCGTTCATGGCCAACGAGTTCTAAAATAAATCTTCACACAAAGCCACATTTTCTCCCATTACTTTAAATTCAAAATGCTTTGCTCACCCCAATATAAGAACTCCCACTCATACCAGAAATTATCCTGATCAAACCACAACGTTAAAGTTAAATTAAACATTAGACTATAATTGAACCATTTCTTTCTTGGACAGCTTCAGACCTACAGTAAAGCCAGTTCCACTAAAACATCAATGAATACAACAACAACACAGTAGCTCTCGACTCACCAGATTCTGGCAACTCCCCGTAGGCTTTCAGATTACGAGCCTCATCTGCTGTGTACTTGAGGATGACATCAGCTTTTGTATCCTGGTAATCCCTTAGACCCAGCAAGATAATATCACCACCATTGATCCACACCTTGAAAATTAAAAAGAAATAATTGTCAGAGACAGTTCAAGGAAAGAGAGATCAAACTAACAACACCAAGAAAGAGAGAGAGAGAGAGAGAGAGAGAGAGAGAGAGAGAGAGAGAGAGAGAGAGAGAGAGAGAGAGAGAGGGGGGGGGGGGGGGCGAAGGGGTGATGCGTTGCAGTATAAAGCTGGATATGTGTGTGCATTTGTCTTGTGTAGGTCCAATGCTGGACCAGTAAAATAATAACATGGCTTCTTACAATTAATAGTACCAGGGACACTTTATCTAAAATTAGTTAAGTGGTCCTTGATAAAATACTTGCTTGCAATGCAATGGGATACCAAGTTGTAGAGTTGAAAAATGTAGTCCCAGTAAGGCTTGAGGTACAAAGTGTACTACATTGGTCATCATTACGTTCTTTCATGAACAGAATCAGTAGAGGTGGGGGTAGAAAGTGGAGATGAAAGCAGACGACAGAACATGGTTCGAGAGCAGGAAAGGAGAACATTTTACTAAAGAAAATTATCTATTTGTCAGATTTTGAACTCGGGACCTATTGAATGAGAGGCGAACACTGTAACCTATGGACCATGAGAACCCCCGTGCAAATCTGATCAAGAGTTCTCCCATGAGGAAAAAAATATAATGGGAGGGATCCAATGTTATTGGACAACTTGGCATGTCTGCCATATTCACCCACTGTCATTCTGACCCGCTGAAAATAACCACTACATTCAAAACAACCAAAAAGTTCAGGGTAACTTTAGAAAGCAAAGATACACTTAAAAAATCAGTGAAAATGAAATGGTGCAAATCACATTCATGACATTCAATGAGCAACATCGAAAATAATAAACTTCACAGCTTACCTTTTTCCTCAACTTTCCCCTGATGTGACATAATCTTTTAATGCCATCAAAGCACATTGCCTCTAATCTTCCATTTCCAAGCATTTTTGTAACCTGGGCATACTCCTGACCTTCCTCCTTGAAAATCAACTCTCTCTTTTCATTCTCATTTTCATTCTTGCCTCTTCTGCGGTTTTTACCTCCCTTTCCTGAAGAAAAACAAACAAAAAATGACATGATTAATTTAAATCAGCATTCAATCTTCAAACAAAGTATCAGTTAAGTACTGAATCAAAGCTCATCACAAGTGCATCATATTATAAAGAGTGGCATTTTAAGTAAGTTTGATATCGTTTCTTGTTTACTACTGTATTTTATAACCATTTTTTTTATTTCACACCAAGACCTGTGTTGTTAGGTCACAGTTATCATACATAATACCGCCTTCCTCCTTCTTTTACACCCTCGATTTTAGATCTACTACTACTAGGCAAGACCATGCACCTCCTAGGACTCTGCACTCTACTGCCTCCCCTCTACCTATCCTACGGCTATTTCTCAGGCAAAGCTGTAGCCGTATATCACGCCTGCACACACTGCTTTAAAATCACCGGGCAAAAATATACAAGACCACACAGGTTTACAATCAAATGTACTCCTACTCTGTGGAACCTCCAATGAACTCTACTACAAGAGCTCAAAATCAAGCTCATTATTAATCCTTGCTTAGCCCAAGATTGAAGAAACCTTCAGTCTAGCGTCCTTTTACTGCTTGTTGTAAATACATGTGGCCCGCAGTGGTCCAGAACTGCAACACACATTCTATTCAATTTGCTAAATTCGGATGAAAAGATTTCAAAGGATAGGGTAGGGTAAGCATTTCATAGGCTACCCCAACCACTATTTCAACTCACTCACTGCCAAACAGGAAGTGTTTCAAAAGAAATTGATAGACAGGGTACTGCCTTTACAAAAACCTCTTGGTCAACCCTAACCTGTACTCAAATCCAACATGTAAACTATAACAATTTGGCATTTTTTAAACTTTCCTTCCAGGCTCACACTTGCCCATTTTCTGCTGAATATTGATGCAGTGAACACGAATATGGATCAACTTCATATCCGTAGCAAATTAATATTTTTTGAAATATTTGATGGTATTAATAAAGACACGTGCATGGTCCAATCAGGGGGTTCCAGGGGGGCCAGCCCCACTGGGGTAAAAGAAAATCTAGGGGTTTACTTTTCATTCCCCCCTGTTTGTTTTAACAAATAATTTGATATTTTACAGTTTTAGATTTGAAATTTTCCTGAAAATAATTGATTTACGACAGTTTTAGTGGCTTTATGTGTGATCTGCAGCAAACAGTACTGCAGTTTGACCCCCGAAGCAGTGCATATCTCTGTGTGCGGGAGTGAAAGTAAAAATTTACCATCAATAAAGACGTGCAGGTCTGTTAGATTGCCCTATTAATTGAAGCCACTTAGGCCTACCTAGAACACAACCGCATTTTAGGTAACTGTGACAGTGATTCTTTTCAAAAGACAAACATCACTGTAACTCCTTATACTAGTACTAATAGTAGGCTTAGCCAAGGCCTACAAGACAAAGTCTAAGGTCTCAAGACTAAATGGAAGAGCTATCTATGCCTCATTTTTTTTTTGGGGGTTCTAAAGCCTGCCTTAGTAAAGGCAAAGGTCATAGATCTACATGATGATAAAACGAACACACCCACATTTTATCTAGATATCCAGTATCTCTAGATATAATAAAGTTTGTTTTTCTTTTATTTTATTTTACAGTTAATGATCTCACAATCTGGCCATCGAGATGTAAAGCAACTTGCTTGATGATTTTAAGTCTAACATTTTTATTTTTATTCAGAAAACTAAAGGCTATCTAAATCTACGAAGTGGCTTCTATTAGGACTCGAGTTCGAACAGCCGCTGGATGCTATTCAGACTCAAATTCCAGTGTGCGTGCGCAATCACCGGTAGTACCGTAAGTGAGGTCTATACCCAACAGGGTTGGTGATTTTTTATATTTTTTAAAAAAGGTCGACTCAGTTTGGGATTTTTGGTGGCTAAAACTAAAAGTATGTTCTTTTTGTGCAAAATGCATTGTCTTTATTTTAACTAATGATTAATTTAAGCAACTGCAAAAGAAAGCCTTAATCTGCTATAACAGTGAATTATGGCTACAGACAAAAAATGAAGAAAATGTCAGTCTAAAAGGAAGGGGGAGGGGTAATTATGCATAGATAAACTTGCATTTTATTACAATGTGTGTGTGTGTGTGTGTGTGTGCACGCTTGTGTTTGTGTAAAAAGAAAAAGAAAATGCTAATTTCAATAATGGAAAAAAAAAAGTACATTGAATACTGTTTTATTTTACAGTGACAGGGGAGGAAGCAGACTTTTAAGCATGATTATATTAGTCTACTAAACCTTATAGCTATATCTGTTTTATAAAACCAAGGAAAGGAATTCTGAATGTTGAAATATGTAAAAACTGAACACATTTTTTAAAAAGTGATTTAAATCACTGATTTTTAATTTAGAAATCAAGTTGATTAAAAATATAAAATCAACTGATTTAAATCAACCCAGCTCTGATTTCAGTTTTTAAAAAAAGAAGTAAATTGAATACTGTATTATTTTACATTGAAAGGGGGGAAAGCAGACTTTTAAGCATGATTATATTAGTCTACTAAACCTTATATCTGTTTTATGAACCAAGGAAAGGAATTCTGAATGTTAAAATATGTAAAAACTGAATAAAAATAAATTTTAAAAAAAGTGATTTAAATCACTGATTTTTATAATAAAAATCAAGATTAAAATAAAAAAATCAACTGATTTAAATCAACCCAGCTCTGATTTCAATTATGAAAAAAAAAAGAAGTAAATTGAATACTGTATTATTTTACAGTGAAAGGGGGGGGGAAAGCAGACTTGCATGATTATATTAGTCTACTAAACCTTATCTGTTTTATGAAACCAAGGAAAGGAATTCTGAATGTTGAAATATGTAAAAACTGAATAAAAATAAATTTTTAAAAATCAAGTTGATTTAAATAAAAAAAATCAACTGATTTAAATCAACCCAACCCTGACCTGTATGAAAAAAAAGAATGAACTACTAAAAACTGCTGTCTAGTAGTTAAACAGTGTGAGGTTCTGACTATGATAAGTGAAAACAAGTTTTGAAAATACTTTTTTAAAGTACATGTATGTTATGTAAACAGACTTAGGACTAGATCAGAATATTGAAAATATGTCGGCACTCACAATACAGAAAAAGACTGGCTTACTGTTTGTCCCTTATGGGACAAAACAAGTGATTTTGAAACGAAGCCGAAGTGTATACAGACCCGGTAACCGGGAACAAAGTCACGAAGTATACAGACCCGGTAGGCAGGGTTGGGTTGATTTAAATCAGTTGATTTTTAAAAATTTAAATCAACTTGAGGAGAGAGAGAGAGAGAGAGAGGGAGGGAGAGAGGGAGAAAGAGAGAGAGAGGGAGGGAGGGAGGGAGGGAGGGAGGGAGGGAGAGAGAGAGAGAGAGAGAGAGAGAGAGAGAGAGAGAGAGAGAGAGAGAGAGAGAGAGAGAGAGAGAGAGAGAGAGAGAGAGGCAGGCAGAGAAATAGAGAGGGGACTGCTCGATTGAAATTATAACATTGTTCTTTTCTTCAAATTGTGATTCCTCCAACTCAAAAACGGAGGAAAAATGATCGTTCATCGAAAAGACATCCGTAATCTTCATTTAGATCTAGATCTAGGCTAGCCTCGAAACTAGATCAATGATTTATGTCTGTCTGTCTAGATCTAGACCATGACCATAGAATAGATCTAGAAGAAGTCTACCTTAGTGTAGAATTTTGTGGTCTACCCTGAGCCAAGAGGGCGCTGAAACTTTCCGAAATCACAAAAGAGTTCCCCTACGAGTCTGTATACTTTGTGACTTTGTTGCCGGTTACCAGGTCTGTATACACTCCCATTTTGAAAAGTATCACCAGAGAAGATGATTTCAGAGAGAATAGTGCTGTTTTATTAGGACGTCTATTTGTGAGACACATCTCTTGCCACATCTCTCACATCTGCAGTAGATCTACTTTTTCATCCAGAGCTTTTTTTCAGACACTGCTGAGGTTTGGTTATCATTGATGTGAGTATGTTTGTACTAGCCATAACAAAATGGACACAATTGTCAAGCTGAACAGTGTCTGACTGAAGCTTTGGTGAGATTTCAGACAAGTCTGACAGGATTTCTCCACCCCCTCCCCCTCCCCCTGACGAGTGTATCTTAAAAAAACAACAAAAAAACCCCTCCCTTTCGGACTCCCATACTTCACGGTGTTCAGACTTTGAATGAACTTTGGTGACCCCAACAACCAGTGCTCACACGATGCCGTATCTTGTAATTAAGCTGTGATACCAACGCGCAGGTTCATTGACCTGCCGCGGTGGCGAACCCGACAAGACGCTTGTGTATAACCTTCTTTTCTTTTTTTTCCTCACAAGTGACAGCACAGGTTAAATATTGATTTATATTTTCATGGTGGCAAATTTTTTAAAACAAAAAAAACAAGGGCACGGCAAAAATTGCCGCGGTTGACCCTTTGATTTTAAGGGCATTATGGCAAATTGCAAAGGCACTACTAAGGCAAATTTCAAGCCCTGATGGACATGAGCAATGACGGAAAAAACTCATGTCATCATCACGTCCATTACATTCTCTTCAGCTTTTTGTTGTAGAATATTGCAAAATTCATTACTGCGTAGAAGATATGATAACAGAGACACATCTGAACCAATTTTAAGCCTTCAAAGGAGCAAGAAGGCAAATATTGACACAAAACGGATGGATATGATCAATGACAGAAAGTTTAATGTCATCATCATCATGTCCACATCGAATATCACTATTGCTATAAAATATTTCTCGATCAGATTTTTTACGCCAATCATATTTTTATATTTAAACTAAGAAGTTTACTTGTAAAACCTATTTTGGGGCCTGGGTATGCCTTACGAAAGGCCACCTCTATTCTCACCCCGGGTGAGAATAGTGCAGGCGAGTCTGACTATTACTCTCTGGTATCTGACTCTATTACACTGGTGTCTGACGGAGTTAATATGCTGTATCTGACCCTACTATTATTTAATTTTAAATGGCCACCTCTATTCTCACCCGGGATGAGAATAGTGCAGGCGAGTCTTTTGGCTATTCTCACCCGTTGTGCGTTCACCGTTATAGCCTAGATCTAGGCCAACAAATTTTGCGTTCACCCTAAACCACAGAATTCTACACTGTGATGACAAAAAAATTGTAGAATTCTGTGCTGTTAACAAACGTTCCATTACAACTGTACTTGTAGCCTACTAAAAGCGTACAATTTTGTCTGTGGGCAGTGGAGAGAGAGAGTGAGAGAGAGAACAAAACAAAATGGCGACCCGCGTAGTTCGGCTCGATTCGAAAAGTTAAATAGCCGTAGCATCTTTGTAGACAACCAAATTAATTTACTTTTGTGTTTTAACATCATTTTTTAACTTTGTTTTGGTCAATTTGATCGTCCTCACCGATAGACAGTATTCAGAAAGAGACAGAGAGAGAAAGAAGAGGGGAGAGTAGATCTTGTGAGAACTTCCGGGCGGGTGAGAATAGCCACTTTCTATTCAAATTATGCACAAATTCTTTATTCTTTGTTATATAACCATTGGCTCTATATTATCTTATGTGCCCGAAGGATGAGAAACTACGGATTTCATGTTACAATCCGGGCACCCCCACTTTGGGCAAAAACGGCGAGACTAAACGGCAAATTCTCTTTCATCCTTGACAGGGCCTCATATGCAAATAACTCTCCAGCCTTCAGAGTCTACCAAAACGTAGAATCTGGGTCACAGGCTCCTTCATCCACAACCAATGTTAACGCTGTTTTGCTCAGTTGATGAAGAAAAAGCTGTCTTAAGGACTATTTTTAGAAAAATATCGCCGTAACTGTTGTTTCAACGAAAGTAAGGGAGGTTGCTTTAGGTTTGTGTGCCACTCTTTTGGGGCTAGATCTAGATTTGAAAAAGTTTTAAACGATCTTTTTGTACTCCAGTGCCCGACAGCAAAAAAAAAAACCAAGTGACTATTTCTCCGAACGTTCGGAGAAATAGTGCCGATCTTTATTTCTCCGAACGGTTTCCGGCCTCGTGATTTTTTGCCTATTTATTGCGAGAGTTCGGCGCCAACTTTCATTCTGCCTCTGGTCTGGGAAGGAACACGTACCGCATGGCAAGCCCGCCTACAGACAACCTTCAGTAGTAACACCCACCACACACCCACCACCATCATGCACATGTACACACACTAACTAAACATAACTAGTGGGCAACTTTTGAACGTATGACGAGCTGAACTGTGGATGGAGAGACAGTGTGAGTGAAAGCGGGTGAAAGGAAGAATGTGCGAGTGTATCCACAGGCGACAGCAACTACAAGACGACGACACCGACCACCCCTGGCCTGGTCCACAGCTCATGAACAAAAGGAATGCAGCACAGGCGGTGTTTTGCCTATATTATTGTCCATGGTTCGCAGGGAACAAGTGAGATTTTCTTTGTGTGTGCCTGGAGGGATGGGGTGGGGTATGAAAGTCATGCGGACGGGGATGAGCCGCGGGAGAGAACACGGGAATTGAATGAAAGAGTGAAACTGAAAGAGACGAACGACTCATGAGTCCTGGAGTGAATGGATCCTGTGTTTCTATTTTTGTATACTTTGAACTGTTACTGAATAAAGGCTGAAATAAAGCCCGAAAAACAAACAAACACACACACACACTCCTCACTCTCCACTTACTACCACACACAGACACACTCAAACACGCACATACATACACACACACACACACACAGGAGCAAATTTTTGGGTCTATATCTATTTCAATTTTCAACAGCTAGTCTAGATGACATTTTTAGATGAGTGTAAAAACGTGAAAAAGAAAGGTTTCACAACAGAAAGAAATAAAAATTAGAACAGCCCATAAACAACAAAAAACATTAACAAATAAGGGCGTGTGTCCACCTGTCCGAAAAAGATTGGCAGTTTTAACCCTAAATGTGCGTAATTTTAAAAAAAGTACAGGATATTACATGTAAATTATGGAATCACACACATTAAGGGGCTTGCCAGTGTCAGTACATTGGTTCCAGCAGTGACAAACGCAGATGCCAGTTCTATGTGTCGTTTAACCCTCCGTAGATCTAAATCTAGACAGCACACGAGTGAACACAACACATTACGTTTAAGAGCAGCACCCTTCATAGGCAACACGTCATATCTATAGCGAAAACTGTTTGGAATTGTAGCATTTTTTTATATAAATATTTACGGCGGACATTTTTTGGACCGATTGAACCATATTGTATACGAACAATCTTTGGTAGGCCCATACTATAATTATAGATCTATATAATATCCGAAATTTGCGGGAAAGGATGATATTTCAGAGTGTTCGGAGAAATAGTGCCCAGCTTTATTTTCCCGAACGTTCGGAGAAATAGTGCCGGCCAAAAAAAAAAGCGTGCTGCCCGAACCGGTACGATTACTCTAGAGATTCTAGATCTAGATTATATAGATCTAGATCTAGATCTAGATATCTAGAGCTGCATATCTACTACTAGATCTAGATCTAATCTAGATTCTAGATCCAAATCTAGATCTAGATATTCTAGATCTACTACTGACGACATTGATGGCCATGGACCAGAGAAACAAAGAATCACTATGGAAATAGAAAGAAAGCAGCAGAAGAGGAATGGGCGATCGTTAAGATTCCTGCGTTTAATTCCGATGTGCGTTTTTCATACCCTCAGGCATATTTCACTTTGGTCCCTAACCCTAGGTTAGGGTTAGGGCCAGGGTTAGGGTTAGGCACCAAAGCGAAATATGCCTGGGCCTGAGGGTATGAAAAACGCACATCAGAGAATTAAACACGGGAATCTTAACAATCGCCGAGGAATGATTGAGGGTGAAATATTGGTAGCCTAACTCTTTCCTTCTTCTTTGATCGGAAAAAATCAATGGCGACATGACAAGGCCAGTGCTGTCCATTGTCACTGACCATCATGAAGAATTGAAATTCATTTCGCTATGTCTGTGGTCCGTGGACGCCGTGGTCAGCTGTGACGAAGTCTTCGACGAAGTGGGTGCAGCAGTGTAGATTTACCTGACGTTGAAACAAATAGTGAGAGACTGTAACGTCCCTTGTACAAGAGAATAACTCTTCATATTCCTTCCTTTGAAACCAACTCACCTTTATTCTTCGGCATTTTCTTTGTGCTTTTATTTCCTCAGAACAGAAATGTAATACTGCGCACTATCCACAGATTGTGACTTGCTATGGCCGCCTAACGTGGTAACAGAGACCGTCGAAAAGCAGGAAGTCATCACACCAGTTGATAGTGCTTATTTGGCAGGCTTATTGTCCTGCCAGGAGTTTTAAAAGATGTTCGACAGTTCTAGGTTGAAACAAAAATAAGGTTCAGAACAGAATGATGCAGAAGTGTGGTTTTACAATGAAATTCTTTTTATTAAAATAGGCCTAGTCTTACAGTAATAACTCTCTACTCGAAGAGTTGACACTCAAAAGCCAATTTTTTTTCTCTTCAAACAAAATCTCATAATTTAACTTTATGCAACACTGTTCTGAAAGATTCAAAATAGGCCTAAATGGAAAGTAACTACCAACTACAAAGATAGACTTATGATAAAAGCCCAGATAACTTACAATTACTCTGGTGAATAAGAATTTTTTTTTCGACAACTACTAAACTACAAATTAATTCAAGTGATTTTGGTCACACGATCGGCATCAAGTCATGCACTTTGATAAACTTGGGACAACTTGGCAAGTTCATAATTTACGAAGATGACATCATATTATTATTTTAGTGTGGCGGCAAGCCAAATCTAACTCGGCGGACACGGTGGTGATTGCACCAAAGATTCTTTGATTGCACCACTTTATTGCTAACTTTTGGGCCAGTTGTGGGTTAATTATAGGTCACAGTCTTGTAGATCTACTATTAATAGTTTGTGTTATATCAAAAATAAAAGCCAATCCTTGTAGGCTTTCTAATTAATATCATGGAATTGAATCTAAATAAAACGGAGACCTTGCCAATAATAATTATTCTGCTTGAGTATCTTTGACGCGCGCAGTGAAAATGAAAGAATACGTTCAGAAAAGATGGACGAGTTCGTGCTAAAAACGCATATATGTATACAAATTACAAAGTCAAGCTAATGAATCCCGTAGGCTTAGTGACTAGTGATGCTTGATCATCACAAACAGATTCGAAATCCAACGGGATCACGAACAGGCGAACTATACAGCCTATGTATGCGCATCATGATGTGTCTCCCCTTCAAATTAGCAAGAAATAAGTTAGTGCCAGTCAACTGAACCATGTGTCGTCATAACAAAACCCCAAAATATAACATTATAAATACATGTACATATTACGAGTGGGGCCTAAATTAAAAACAAGTATATGCATTGCTAAGTGCTTAATTCTACTTGAGTCAGCCATAAGATCCATAGAATGGATAGCTACATAGATCATTGTTATATAGATTAATATCAAGGCCTTGATTAATATAGACCTCTTTATGTTGTATCAGAAAGGGGGGCTACAAAAGGCCTATACCTACATTTAGTGATTGACGATAACGCTTAGTTCTCGTAGTCATTCGAATCAGATATCAACCCCGTCATAAGTCGCCAACGGCATTTGGAAACGTGTTGTGTAATAAGATCCAACATCAATTTATTTTCAGAAAAAAAGTGACCAGGACAAAAAATTAAGTGCCTCCGCTTCACAGACTTTCTATACTATGTATTTTGTTTGCGTGAATATTATATCCTGCCACTCTCCAAGAAAGTCGCGATCGTTACCTTAAGGTCAATCTAAAAGGCAAAATAAAAGTTGGCAAAGATGCTGAATTGTAAAACCGCGAGGTCACTTCGTCTGCACCACCCCGTGCAACCATATCATTCGGGGGAGGGGGGGGGGATAGTACGTACGCTCTCTGCCCTCACCCTCTTTTGCCCCCACCTCATGGACTCCTGACTCTCTCTCTCTCTCTCTCTCTCTCTAGCCTCTCACCTGCTACTTCTTGGCTTCTTCTTACTGCCGTCTTTTAGCCACATCCCGGTCATGATAGATATAAGGATCTAACTCCTAGCCTTCTCGGATAAGTGCGAAAAATCTTGGAGGTCCCATGTGCAAGTTGCGTATGCTAAAAAGATCCCAATTGGTGGTCCGAAATCGATAAGAGTCAACTTCGGCCGCCACCCGGACAAAATTCAAAATTCCCTACCAAACTGAAATTGTGTGTCCCGTGCGCACATATTAATATCGTTTGCAGTTGCCAGCGTCTTAAAACACCCACTAAATAAATAAATAAGAGAAGAGCTTAGACGTCATAAAAGTGAGCGCTGACAATCTAGCATCTGTGTTTGTTGCCATTTTTTTGTCCAAAAGTTGCTAAAAGTTGCCACAAAAATGGCAAAAGTTGCCATAAAAGTTGCCATTAATGTTCAAGCTTTCAATTTCAACTCTCTGTGACGACGTAATAGAAATACACTGTTGATAGAAGTAATTTAATCTAAAGCACCAGAATTTAAATTTAAATATGTTCTGTTTTAAGCATTCAGAATATTATTTGTAGCCACATAGATTCTAGAGTGTAAAAACATGAAAAATAAAGGTTTCATAACAGAATGAAATCAAAATTAGAGCAACACATAAAAAACCACAAAAATCAACAAATAAGGGCGTGTGTCCACCTATCCGAAGATTGGCCGTTTTAACCCTAAACGTGTATAATTCAAGAAAAAGTACAGGATGTTGCATGTAAATTATGGAATCACACACAAGGGGCCTGCCAGTGACAGTATTCGGTTTTGGTGGAGACACGCTTTAACATCCAGTTAAATCTTTTAAAATGTAGGAACAACATCAAATTAAATGACATTACGATATGTAAACGCAAAAAATAGAAAAACAACACATCAGAACAATAACAACAACAAAATTTACACACCAACAAATTAAAACTCAACAAAGAGGGAAAATATAAAAGCCAAACAGCAATATAAATATAGTATGTAATGTACCTACATTCTTCGCACGAAAATAACTATACATGGACACCTTATAAAAGTTATCAAAATACACCTCTAACATGTTATGAAGTAGCTTTTTGTTGAAAAATGCAAAAATGCAGATGTTAGGCGTTAGGACAATAAAAAGGTATGTCTTTGCTAAAGAAGGCTTAATTGACACCCGTTTCGGGTCAATAATGCCAAGAGGAAGGGTATATACAGAAAATTCTTCTTCTTCAACTGTTCTACTGAGGTCTCAGGTCCTTCGTTGAAAGACAGGACACACAGAAAGTCTTTGGGATGCGATCGGGGTCTTTTTAAGAGACCTGGACCAGTTGTCGGAGGCATCGCAGTCTTCTCATTCAGTGGTTGGCGGGTGCCCTGGCGTGGTTTGCTCTTTATTTCCTATCAAACATCTAGCCCTTCAGTGTATTGTCCTCATCTCCCCTCCTGTTTTCGGAGGGGGTTGGCGTGTGCTCTGATCTGTTTCAATTCCTTTTTCCGGATTCTGTTTCAATCATTTTTCCTCCTCCTTCTGGGGTGGTATTTGTTACTCTCTTGAAGCTCGTAATCTTCGATTACTCTCTTGTAACATCTATAACTTTTGACACTAATGACCTAATTGTGTTACAAGTGCCGTAAAACTCTTACCAAAGTGGGAAAACTCCTCGTGGCCTAGAGGTTAAGGTGTTGGCCTCTCATTCAAAAGGTCTCGGGTTCGAATCCGGGTAAAGAGTAAAGTTGTTCCCGCATCCGATCCGGACATTGGGGATTGCCTTGTTAGTGAGACAACTTCCTGGGCCTTCGGCATATTGTGATAGGGTGGGTGGCCATTTCCTCTCCACACTGCCTTTACTTCCCCAACTCGAAGTCAGGTACCCATTACTGCTGGGTGGGCAGGAAGGGGCGAAAAAAATCCGTGTCAGAACAGGGGCTCGAACCCAGACTTTCCGCTTCGGAGAAGAGCGCCACTAACCGCTCCGCCACCGCACCCTCGATCGAATCCGGGTAGCAACCGAATTTTTTTCCCCTCTAACATCGTTATCCTTTCACCTCCTTTCCTTTTCTCTAGCAATGTTCTGTCGTCTGCTTTCCCCTCCTCTTTCTGTCCCCTACCCCCTCACCTCCTTTAACCCCTCCTCTGGGCTCCTCTTTCTGCAGCCTTTCTACTGCTACATGTACTCCTTGGCTCCTTCTTGCTGCTATCTTTCAGCCACACCCCTGATCTTCTGGTAGAAAGATCTACAACTAGCCTTCTCGGACAAGGGAGAAAAATCTCGGAAGGCCCGAGTGCAAGTTGCGCACGATAAAGACCCCTTGGTGGTCTAAAATCGATAAGAGTAGGCTTCGCTCGCCACCAGGGCAAAATTCAAAATTTCCTACCAACTGAAAATGTTAGATGTGTCCCGCGCGCTCATGTGACCTTATGCAGTTTCGAGCGCCGTAATACACTTACTAAAAAAAAAAAAAAAAAAAAAAAAAAAAAAAGAGGGAAACTCCTCTCAACTAATGATAGGATGTTGATTGATCCTCTTCTCGCCACGGACGTGTGTAGGCCCAGTCCAGGTTTCGATGATACACTGTTATCTCAGGTGGTATCATGTTCGGCTCTGATGGGAATGACTCTGGTTCTAATCTGTAAACGGGATGTCCTTATGCGTGTATTGCTTGGAGAAATGTCAAGGCTCTCCACCCATTTGGTTAGGGTATACCAGAAATGCATGAAACATTAAAATTTGAAGGTTTGAAAGGGATATAACGTTTTGTGTCAAAAGGGGCATTACCGGTTATCCATACAATTACAATTACATGTACTAATTTTTATGATTCCCTCCCTGCTGTAGAGGGGAGTCTGTTGTGCCCACACTTTTGACTTCGTAAGGAATAATATTACGTTCTGTGTCAGGGCAGGGGGGTATTTGTTTCTTTATCGACTGCTTGCGCTGTTTAAGCTTCCGGGAAGCCAAGAATGTTTCTGGGTGCTCTTGGATCCGTCGGGATAAAAGTATAGATTGTAAGGTGCCTGGTATAGAGCGGGGGGAAGGGGGTGTATACAAAATTTAGGCTATTACTTAATATCAATGAATAGGCTATCAAAATACTCGTGTGTGTTCTCTATTACTAGAATCCTCGATTCCTTAGCACAGACTCAATTTGTTACGTGCTGATAAATTTTACCACCCCGCCCGTCCTTTATTTCTCTGCTTTCTATATGCTGAAATAAATTGTAGACGCACGTGTTCACAAAATGCTGAGGAGAGAGAGAGAGAGAGGGAGAGAGAGAGAGA